TTCGTTGATCCAATGAAAAAGAAAAATTTCGCCAGTAAATGGATTAAAGAAGGAATTTCTTTCGCTAACATTGTTAGTGGAGAAATCCCCAGTCAAACCCCTACTAATAATGAAAATAAAAATGATAACAGAAAAGAAGATTCCCCCCGTGGATTCCTTAGCCAAGAAAATGATACCTCTGACTTAATACAAGTTCTGGAACTTTTTAATGTCATTTCAAACCTAGTAAAGAAAAATCCTAAAATTCTCGATCTTCTCTCTAAATTTAAAAATGCAAGTTCGGACGAAGAAAAAACCTGCCTACTAGCAGAAGCTCTCATGGATAAAGTTTAATCTCATATTATTTTAACCTTTAAATTCCCTCCTAATTATTTTCTCTTTATAATAGTTGTCTTTAAAATAATAAACTAAAATTAGAATAATTCTTCGAAGTCAAAGCTAGTGCAGTTTAAAAGCTCACTTCCAACCTCCAATCAAAGCCCACCTCCACAGCACCACTCTCATTGGTTCTCCACTCCTGAAGTCACGCCCTCCTCTCCCAACCAAAGCTGCAACACCATGAACATTGAATAACCAGATAGAGGGTTGAAGACTGCTGACGCAGTCTAGGTACCTCTTCACAAAATCATCCGTCAATCATCCGAGACAGTGCGAGCTAATAGTAGGTATTGAAAAAAAGTAAGTGAAATTTACTGAACAAAAACACATAAAGAGGGAAATACGTTTAAGCAATGATTTAGGAAAAATATCGTTTGATGAAATGATTGAAAAAATTTCTTGAGAAACTGAAATAATACAATTTAATATAGTTCTACAATTTCACTCAGTTATTTTTTTCTTTTAATTTTTTATTTATTTTATCATGAAATATTTTAGTGCATATACAGTGGGCCACAAAAGTGTTCATACACTTGCAATTTATTATGAAATTTAATGTTTTCGACCAATAAAAATTAATATAATGTAATTGTAATTTTTTTATGATATCTGCAACTTATTCTTAATAGAATGGCATTATTACTTTTGTAAAAATAGTATAATTATTTTTTTTAAAAATTATTTATCGAAAAACTACTAAAAAATTACTCCACAAAAGTCTTCGTACACTTAACAAACATCTCAACTTAGCTTTAAATATAGTATTTTTTTCTTAATTTAGTACTTAGTAGGATGTTTTTTAGGGTCCGCAACAACGTCTAAGCGTTTTGGTATAGATTTAACCAATTTTTTGTAATTTCTGCATCGATTTTCCACCATTCTTCTGTCATTATTGCTTTTACTTCACATTATGCGTTTATATGTCGTGTTTTCCTTTTTTTACATTAAAATCTCACCAGATATGTTCTACTGGGTTAAATAAAGTGATTGAGGAGGTGTTTTCAAAGTTTGGGGACAGTTATAGAGACACTAGTGGCGTACAATGAGTGCAGTGCACATGGCGTCATGACCCTGTTTAAAAATTAAGTAGTCTCCAACGTTCAAATTTCGGGGGGATAATTTAAAATTTCTCTTTAAAATAATTAAATAGACCTCATGATTCACAATACCATGAAAAAATACCAAATTATCTAATTCTGAGTCCAATTTACACCCCCACGCTAGAACACCTTCACTTCCATGCTTCAGCATGGAAGTGAAGGAGTTCTTGTTCCACATAAAAAAAAAAAAAATTCATGGGATTAAACTCCTTATTTTTTCATTTATAAGCTATTATAGGCCCATCGGAACCAAAAATGTTGAATTGTCTGCCATCCCAATCAATTTGTTGTCAATTTTGAATTTTCTGAAACTTAATTCCAAGTATCTTGTTGGATCAATAAAACATGGAGGTAGAGGTGTTCTTGCGTGGGGGTGTAAATCGGCCACAGAATTAGATAATTTGGAATTTTTTCATGATATTATGAATCATGAGCTCTATTTAATTATTTTAAAGAGAAATTTTAAATTATCCGCCCGAAATTTGGATATTTGAAACGACTCCATTTTTTAACAGTAATGACGCCAAGCGCACTGCTCTCAACGTACGCCACTGGCGTCTCTATAATTGTCCCCAAATTATGAAAACACCTCCTCAATCACTTTATTTAGCCCAGTAGAACACATTTGGTGAGATTTTGATGTAAAAAAAAAGAAAACACGACATATAAACGCAAACTGTGAAGTAAAAGCAATAATCACAAAAGAGTGGTGGAAACTCAATGCAAAAATTACAAAATCTGATTAAATCTATACCAAAAACGCTTAAAAGTTGTTGTGGACTCTAAAAGATATCCTACTAAGTACTAAATTAAGAAGAAATACAATATTTAAAGCTAAGTTGAGATTTCTGTTAAGTGTACGAAGACTTTTGTGGCGTATTTTTTTAGTAATTTTTCGATAATTAATTTTTTAAAAAAATAGTTATACTATTTTTAAAAAAAATTAATTATGTCATTTCATTAAGAACAAGTTTCAGATATCATAAAAAAATTACATTTACAATATGTTAATTTTTATTAGTCGAAAACATGAAATTTTATAGGAAATGCAAGTGTACGAACACTTTTGTGGCCCACTGTATGTACTTTTATCTAAAATTATATTGTATCATCGAAACAACAAATGCAATTTAGATCAATAAATAATACTTATTCATAATATATTACTCTGCATGATAAAAAATATATTTCCCTAAAGTAGCGCAAGCTGATTTTACCCTAAATATCTCTTTACTTAAATTGTTTACGTTTTAATTCACCAATTTTCCTTTTTATTGAAATAAATTCACAACGATATTAAAAACATTTTTTTTTATACTCGAGTTTTTTCAATTCCTACTATTAGCTCACAGTCTCTATATATTTATTTATTTATATATTTATTTATTTATCCTGTTAGAATTTTCAATCGTGAAATAAAATACATTTTAAATCGCTCAATTGAGCTGAAATTTTGTATACATGATCATTTTGGATGACAATACAATAATTTAATTATAATTAATAAATATTAATTGATTAAAACTAATTATTTAAAGAATTTGGCATCATTTTTTTTACCTTAGCCACCATTTTTTTTCTCACGTGTTAAAGCATTCAGTTGAACTGAAATTTTATAACACGATTGTTTTGGATGACAATACGATACTTTAATGATAATTAATAAAAATTTATTACCAATTAATGTTGTGATTCTGTCCTATGTATATACATATTTATATTAATTGTAACTATTTAATAAAAAGTAGCTAAAATAAAATATTTCTTTGTTGATCTAAGTAGGAATTGACTTAAAAATTGTTTTTTATATTACTTGTAAACCATACTTGTACTTGGTCCATATTATATTTTGTAATCATTTTTATTTTAATATAATTTAAAAATATAGGATACTGTAAAATCTGGCGTATAACGCACACTTTTAATACAAAAAAAAAAAAAAAATACCGAAATTTACGGGTGCGTGTTATATGCCTGGTATAAATGTGAGATCTGTAAAAAAAGATAAACAGAAAAAATAGAGACTTTTACAGGTATTGAAGTACTGTTTATTTAAAAGAAATGACGTTCCTTATCAACCTAAAGGGTTGTAGTTCTAAAAGTATTCTATTTTTTTCTCTTTGAAGTTAGGAATAATAATTCGAATAAATGACTTCAAAACTATAGCATTGCTCACGAACAATTCAGGTTTCTTCGTGAAGAAGGGGGTGCGCGTTATATACGGTAATTATACCTAAAATTTAAAAATTGTATTTTGAAAATATAGGTTCGCGTTATACGCCGGAATTTAAAGTATAGTTTTTTCATCATCGTAGAGATTTTGAAAATGTTTCAATGAAGTCTAATTTGAAAATTCTTTTCCAGTATCATCACGAATGTAAAACTATTTGGAAGTGAGGTGCGACCTAGGCACTTCACTTCACTAGGTTTCAAAACTGCAAGACCCTTCACTAATAAGTGTCGCATTGCTTCTGATAGCGATGTTAAGAATTAATCAATGCTTACACTTATGAATTTATGTACAAAATGGCTGGGAAGTAAAGAAAAGTAAAAATCATGGGTCACGATATCTGATGCGATATTTTTTTTTTAATTTGGAATGGCAGCTTAGTATGAAAAAGCACCCCCTTTTTATTATTTTGTTAATTACCAAATTTAAAAAAAAATTAGTAAACTTTCATTTACTTATGAAAATAAAAGCACTTTATATTTAAATTTAGTTCCTAGAGGAGTATTTAAGAAAACAGCATTTTCGGTGAAGCTCCAAATATTGCAAAAATAAATAGAAGACTGAATATTTTAAACAATATATTGAATCCACCAGAGAAGAATTAAAATAGAAAAAAATCTGTTCTATCTAGTATAAACACGTCAAATGCACTAGAAAGGTAAAAATCAGCCTTCACGAAAAATCAAATTTGCACTGGAATTGAATGCTATTAATATTCAAGAATTCGCGCTTAATTCTGTAATAGGAGAACTCAAGCATGATATTTTCGCTCAAGTTCATTAAATTTTGCTTCAAAAAATTATTATTTTGTTAGTATATGCATTTATATCTTTGCAATTTTTGGTTTAGCATTTATTGTGTAATAGAAAATGAATTTTTCTAAAAAAAGAATTGAAGAATTATTGCGTACATATTAGTTAACCAGTGGCCCAAAAATGTTCTACAATTTAAAAAAAAGTGTGTATGTACATATGTACGCACGTAAGAAGTTATACTTCTTTGGCGTAACAAGATTAAAATCTTTCTAAAAATCTTTAGCAGGGCAAGCTGGGCCAAAGATGAAAGGCGGTGACGAGCAGAGTTGAGCGATACTAACCTTCAGTCAATCGGACCAGCCAAACCTGAGATAATCACGATTTAAATAAATTTAAACACCCCCGCTTAGGAACAATAGGACCAATAATATGGGGAGGGGGTCGAAGGCGGGAATGATCTGTCCCGTTCTGCATATTTCTAGACAAAGCATTTTCGTATCCGTTCCTACGGAATGCAAAGGAAAGGCTTGCTGACGCGGATGTATAGCTCAGTGGTAGATAGAGCATTCGACTGCAGATCGAGAGGTTCCCGGTTCAAACCCGGATGCTCCATTCTTCAGGGAAGTAAAGAGAAATAATTTTTTTGAGAATTCGAAGGCGGGAATGATCAGTCCAATTCTGCATATTTCTAATCAAAGCATTATCGTATCCGT